AAAAAAAAAAAGTTCAACTTTATTTGCAGTGACAGAAATGCAGACTAAAATCATGAGATATTAATCCATCCCTATCCAGCAGGCAAAAATAAACAAGTCAGAAAACTTCATGTGCTGGCAAGGATTGGAGCCACTGTTAACACTGAGGCATAACCAGTGGAAGCATAAATTCTTTTTACCACGTTGGTATCATAGACTGAGTGATTAGTGGCACCAGGGCTTCAGAAATATTTGAACACAGTACTTGTTTGAACACACAAGTTTGTTTACCACAGCACTCTACCAAGGGTAATTAATGTAGTGAGACTCTGTCTCAAAAAAAAAAAAAAAAAAAAAAAAGGAAAAGAAAAGAAAAATTAATCGGCAGCTGTGATGGATGCCTGTAGTCCCAGTTACTGGGTTACTGTGAGCCATAATAATGCCACAGCATTCAACCCTAGGACAGAGACTCTGTCTCAAAAACAAAACAAAACATATATATTTTTTCATATATATATAAAACAAAACATATATATATTTATTATTTACATATACATACATAGTTTTTTTAATTGGCTTCCCTGAGTTTGAGGCAGGGACAACATCAAAGCTGCCCATTTCTTGAGCCTACAGTAGTGGCCCAGCATCCTGACTCACCACTCCCTTTGCCAACAGTGCTTCTTTGGAAGGGCCTCAAGCTCACCTTGCACACTTTTTTTTTTTTTTTTTGCAGTTTTTGGCCAAGGCTGGGTTTGGCCACCTCTGGCATATGGGGCTGGCACCCTACTCCTTGAGCCACAGGGACTGCCCCTCACCTTGCGCACTTTGCCTGGCGTGTTGGGTGTCAGTCCTCGCCGCTTGCTGGGTGTTCGGGGGGCACTCCCATAGAGCATCTCTGTCTCTGTCTGCTTCTTGTTCTTGAGTTGCTATGTAACAGTAAGAAGTAACAGTGATAAATACCCAGAAAAGAACAGGTCTGGATAGGAACAGAAGCAGGGCCAGAAATCTAGGGCCAAGTGTCTTTCCTGTTCTTCACCCAACTCTGGTCAATGGCAGAGACTCCATGCTGCTGACAGCACTACCTCCTTCTTCTCCCCACTTTGTGCCCACACTCACTCTTTCCTGCTTGGCTCTCTCTTTCTCTAATCGATGCATCTCCCATTGCTCCGTCACGTACTCCATGAATTTTTGCCCATTCACCACAAATGCTTTTGAGTGTTCCTGTTCCCACATTTCAATTTGTGCCTTCAACTCCTCTTCCAGCTGAGATCAAAAACAAGGACATGTTAATTACTCCAAACCATTGGTGTGGATCAGTGAAATGATCTCCTAAAGAATGACTCCTGGCCATGCATGGTGGCTCCTGCCTATAATCCTAGCACTCTGTGAAGCTGAGGTGGGTGGATTGTTTAAGCTCAGGAGTTCAAGTACAACGTGAGCAAGAGTGAGATCCCATCTCTACTAAAAACAGAAAAACCATCCAGGCGTTGTGTATAGTACCTGTAGCTGAGGCAAGAGGATAACTTGAACCCAAGAGCTTGAGGTTGTTGTGAAGTATGATGATTCCAGGACACTCTACCCTGAGTAATAGAGTGAGACTCTGTCTCAAATAAAACAAAACAAAACAACTCCTCCTTCCCCAAACCTCATAAGCCTAACTTCAGGTAGCTGAATCCACAGGAGTACAAGGCCAGAGTGATTAGAAATCAGAGCCTACAGATGGTTCATTTACAATACACACACAGTGGAAAAGGAACCCAGAGTTTGAGCACTCAGGTTGATGCATATAGTTGGAGGAAGTACTGGGCAAGATCAGCAAGAGTAAATAGTCAGTGTACATTAAGAGCAGAACTGTGGAATCAGACTATCTGGGTTTCAATATGGAATCTACTTCTCACTGTCTGTGAAAAGGTGGGCAAATTACATGACTTCTCTGTACTTCCATACTCTCATCTGTAAAATAATGAGAAATAATATTATTTCTCATCTGGAAATAATACCAAACTCAGGGATATTGCGAGGACTGCATAAATAAAAACACTTTAAAAATAGTACCTGATAAAATGCTATTATTAAAATAGAAAAGTATTAATATAGACCCAGTACTTTCCCAAAAGCTTGCTTTATGTTACTGGCTTAACTATGTTTCCTAAAAATTCGTATGTTGAAGCCCTAACTCCCAGTACTTGGAGATAGTCTCACTCTGTTGCCCTGGGTAGAGTGCCATTGCATCATAGATCACAGCAACCTCAAACTGCTGGGTTCAGGCAATCCACCCAGCTCAGCCTCCCAGAGTACTAGAACTATAGGCATAAGCCACCAGGTCTGCAGAGACAGGATCTTTAAAAAGGTAACTGAGCTAAAATGAGTTCATTAGGTGGGCTTTAATCCAACAGGATTGATGTGATTAGGCCACAGGGACATGAAGACAGAGGGAAGAGAAAATGGCCATCCACAAACCAAGGAGAGAAGGCCCCAGAAGAAACCAACTCTGCCAATAGTGCCTTCAGACTGCCAACTTCCAGAACTGTGAGAAAATAAATTACAGTTGTTGGAGCCACTCAGTCTGTAGTACTTTATTTGGCAGCCCTAGCAAACTGATACACCTTGATGGGTACGTTACACCTAACAAATGAATAATGGCTTATACTGAAGGCCCAATATATACTTATCCCTGACTAAACTTTGGAAGAAAATATAGTTTTGGGTCAAAATAATACAATGCAAAGGACAAAGAAAAAGTGAGGTATTTTGTAGCCAACCATCAATATTACCTTAGGTAGTGTTTTCTGGAGTTTTGCTCGTTGCTTTTCTTCTTTTAGAAGATTTCCTCCCCGGTTTGTAAATCGACTTGGATCTGAAGCTTTTCTCTGTGAAAAGTGCATTGTAATTAGAGTAAAACTAGGCACAGTCAGACCAATAACTAATGCTAAGATCCCTTGCTCTCATAAAATGACATATATTATTAAAGTGACTGTTTTGCATTTCTGCCCACATTATATATTTTTTTTTGAAACAGAGTCTCACTTTGTTGCCCTTGGTAGAATGCCGTGGCATCATAGCTCATAGCAACCTCTAACTCTTGAGCTCAAGTGATTCTCTTGCCTCAGCTTCCCAAGTAGTTGGGACTACAAGTGCCTGCCTTAACGCCCAGCTATTTTTAGAGGTAGAGTCTCCCTCTGGCTCAGGTTGGTCTTGAACCTGTGAGCTCAGGCAATCCACCCACCATGGCCTCCCAGAGTACTAGAATTACAGGCATGACCCATCTTGCCCGGCCTCCTGTCTGTGGCAGTGAAAAATGGTGGCTCTCTGAGCCAGTGGGCTGTGGTCCATTCCCAGATACCAGCAAGATCACTGATTCAGGTGCAGGAAAATGATTGTTTCTTTTTAATCTAAAACATTAAGACAGACTCTAATATTTAATACTGTCACTGCCTCCCTTTCTTGGTTTGAATGTCATATGATTACATGTGATTTTAGAATATAAAGTGTATGGAGGGACCAAGGGGTCTACACTCAGGGCTCAACGGTGACACCTCTATGCCTACTCAATCTGGGTGTACTGAGACAGAATCAGTTCAGATGTGCAGTAAAGAAACTTTTTTTTTTTTGGCCTGGGCTGGGTTTGAACCCACTACCTCCGGCATATGGGACTGGCACCCTACTCCTTTGAGCCACAGGTGCCACCCGCAGTAAAGAAACTTAACAGATAGGATGAATGTGGTGGCTCACCCCTGTAATCCTAGCACTCTGAGAGGTCAAAGCAGGTGGATTGCCTGAGCTAATGAGTTCAAGACCAGCCTGAGCAAGAGTGAGATCTTGTTTCTTTTTTTTTTTTGAGACAGGAGCCTCAAGCTGTCCCCCTGGGTAGAGTGCCGTGGCATCTCAGCTCACAGCAACCTCCAACTCCTGGGCTCAAGCGAGTCTCCTGCCTCTGCCTCCCAAGTAGCTGGGACCACAGGCGCCCACCACAACGCCCGGCTATTTTTTGGTTGCAGCCGACGTTGTTTGGCGGGCCCGGGCTGGATTCAAACCCACCACCTTGGGTGTACATGGCTGGCGCCTTAGCCACTTGAGCCACAGGCACTGAGCCGAGATCTTGTTTCTAAAAATAGCTGGGCTTAATGCCCATAACTCAGTGGTTAGGGCACTGGCCACATACACCAAAGGTGGCAGGTTTGAGCCTGGCCTAGGCCTACTGAACAACAATGACAACTGAAACAAAAAAATAGCTGGGCTTGTAGCGGGTGCCTGTAGTCCCAGCTACTTAGGAGGCTGAGGCAAGAGAATCTCCTGAGCCCATAGCACTCCACCAAGGGCAACAAAGTGAGACTGTCTCAAAACAAAAGAACCCTCTCTAGAACAGAAGTTTAGTGCTTTTAAGTTTGTCAGGGCAGTGCCCGTAGCTCAGTGGGTAGGGCGCTGGCCATGTACACCAAGGCTGGAGGGTTGGAACCCAGCCTGGGCCAGCTAAAATCAACAATGACAACTGCAACCAAAAAACAGCCAGGCACTGTGGTGGGCGCCTGTAGTCCTAGCTACATGGAAGGTTGAGGCAAGAGAATCGATTAAGCCAAAGAGTTTGAGGTTGCTGTGAGCTGTGACACCACATCTACCGAGGGCAACATAGTGAGACTCTTGTCTCAAAAAAAAAAAAGAGGCTCAGTGCCTGTGGCTCAAGTGGCTAAGGTGCCAGCCACATACACCAGAGCTGGTGGGTTCGAGTCTAGCCTAGGCCTGCCAAATAACAATGATGGCTGCAACCAAAAAATAGCCGGGCATTGTGGTGGGTGCCTGTAGTTCCAGCTACTTCGGAGGTAGAGGCAGGAGTATTGCTTGAGCCCAGGAGTTGGAAGTTGCTGTGAGCTGTGATGCCAGAGCACTCTACCCAGGGCGACAGCTTGAGGCTGTCTCCAAAAGAAACTTACAAATAATCTGGTTTTACCTAAAGTAACCCTCACTAAACACATGTTAAGTAAAATTTTAAAGCTTTTCATTCTTTTTTTAACTTTTCTGGGGTTTTGTTTGTTTTGCTAGTCAAGTGAAGCAGTGGAAGTGGAGAAGGAACACAGAAATTTGTAATTGGTTGCAATCAATTAGTTATGAATGTCACAGCACCCAGATCAGCCAGTTTCTTGTTGTTTTATAACGTATACAGTATAGTAGAACAGTAATACAAATAGTTATAAGTTAGGTGCCTAGGCTGACCACAGTGAGTGGCTCATGCCTATAATTCTAGCACTCTGGGAGGCCAAGGTAGAAGGATGGCTTGAGGTCAGTAGTTTGGTAAAACCAAGGGTGAAACCCTGTCTCTACAAAAAATAGAAAAAATTAGCCCTGCATGGGGGTGATTGTTTGAACCTAGGAGTCTAGAGGTTGCTATGAGGTAGGTGCACTGCACTCTCCCTAGGGTGAGGGTGAGGAATGAGTACATACTTAAAAATGGGGGCAGGTAATCAGAAAAGTTCTTGACAGTTTGGAGGCCAAACTTCCAAAGAAACTATTTACCTTCCACACTGCTGGATTGATGACAGCCTATAAACAATAACCAGAGAGGGCAGTAATTCATTTCTTATTTTTTTCTTAAATACTCGTAGGTCAACGACTTTTATTATTTGCTTTTTATTCATGTTCACTCCTTCTTCTTTTTAATCAGAAGTCAGGAATAGGTAAGGCCTAGGACAACTGTTCTTAAACAGCTATGGGCTACCCCACAGTTCTCACCATTTCTGAGTCCTAGTTTCCTGCCTGTAAACTTGAAAGAGTTGAATTAAAGATTCTCTAAAAGCCCTCTTGTGCTATGACAGGGCCAACATGAACCTGAGCACAGGAACTAAATCTTTAAACTTGTACCCTTGTTGCCTCTCTTACCTCATCCTAGTCCCAGCCCCGAATTCTAAAATGCTCTAAGGGCATCTGAGAAAAGTCTGTAAGAAAAGAAGTTACTGCCCCAATACCTAGGCAATTTTTAAAGAGCAAAAGCAGGAATGGTAGAGAATATTAGCTGTCTGCCCCAATATCCATTCTCCTTTCCCTTCTTAATAACAGAACCAGAATTCTACATGAGGCACTGATGCACCTGGGCTACTTTGTAGCTGGCACGGTATGTAAGCAGAGGTACTATGAAGAGAGCCTGGGAGGATCCTTAAAAGGGTAAAGGGGCAATACCTTTTTTGTCCCTTCTTCCATTGTGATGTTTGAAATGTGGCCGTAAGAGTGGGCGCTCTGGTGGCCCTCCTGGCCTTGAGGATGAGGTCCACCTTTAGTGGTAGAGGAATCTTGAACTCATTGTGAGAAACTGCCAGGACTGACAGGCACCACCTGTCCAACTCTGGG